CCCCACGTGTATGGACTGTGTGCCTGGTGGGTGTGAGGCTTTATTCTAAACACCAGCAAACGAAGCCTACAGAGACACCTGGCCTCCTGGAGCTTAAATTCCATGGGGAGACAGACAGTAAACAAAATCCTTAGTAGAACAAGTGAATGACATCATGTTAGAAGGTGGCAGGTGCTCTGTGGGCAAAGTAGAGCTGCACTGGGGCATTGGAAGTGTGGAGGGCGAGGGAGGCAGGTCGCAGGATCAGTGGGGCTGGCCTCCGAGAGCAGGTGAGGTTTGAGCAGACTTGGAGAAGGTGAGGCATCCACTCGGAGCTCTCTGTGGAGGGTGCTCCAGGAGGGGGAATGCCAGGACAAAGGCCCTGGGGCAGAGTGTGTTGTGGGTTTGAGAGCTGGCAGGCATGGCTGGTGGAAGAGGAAAGGCCAAAAGCCTGGCAGGGCTTGTGGGGGCACCAGGGTCTGGTCAGCCTGGCAGGCTGTGGTCAGGCCTTTGGTTTTCACTTGGAGAAAATGTGAGCCATTGAGGTTTGGAGCAAGGAAAAACCTAATCTGATATGTTGGAGAAGGATCTTCTCGCTCTTGTGTTGAGAATGACGCATGTGGACAGGGGCAGGGGGTGGGCCCAGAGGCTGCTGCACTAATGGAGATGGTGACTCACACCACGGGGGCGGCCCTGCAGAGTGAGAGGTGGTTGGGTCCCATTATCTTCTGGAGGTAGAGTCAACCCAACTTCTGGACAGAGAGAGAGGAGGCCAGGGTTGCCTTATGGGGTTGGGCAATAAGCAGGATGAAGGTACCATCAACCAAACTGGGTGAGATGATGATGAATAGGTTCAGATTCCAAGCCTTACGAGTTCGGATTTGAGAAGATTATGTTTGAGGTTTTGGAATTCTGAATGGAGCTGTAGAGCACACCCTGGACATATGAATCTGGAGAAATGATTCCCCATATTAACCTCACAGTTTTGGAGGTGATATTCTAATCAGTGGATTCATTAATACTTAAAAAATATAGATCATAATGGCATCAATCAGATTTATCCCATAGATGTTGAGAATAATTTTCTAAAATCCTATTCCAAGGAGAGAAATCCATCAAATTATAATAAGATTTGTTCTAAAATTTCATTTGTAAGTTTGTGTTTTTTTGTAACCCCAAATATATATTCCCAGATAAATGATTTTATGACTTACAGTTCAACTCCTGGGCCAAATATTAGAAGTGTATCTAATCTATAAGATAGTAATATATTTGCAAAAAAAAAAAACCCCTCTGAAAACAGAATAATCACACAACACTTAATGATATAGGAGTTTTTGTACGTCCCCATTTATGATTTGTGGGTGGGAATAGTCAGAGTTCATCTACCAAACTGTCTCCCTGAGAAATACAAAGACCCTCCATTTCCCTGGATGCTGAGCTGGGAAAGGAGGGTCTGAGCATCTGGCAGCGCCTGAAGGCCAGCCTGGGGGAGGGCAGTTGCGTGTGCAAGGAGCCTGGGGGCCCAAGAGCCAAGAACTCTCCCAGACTGCAGTCTACGGCTAAAGAGCCATTTGGGGTAGTAAGTTCTATTTTAAGCCTTATTCATACTTAGATGGGGGTCAATTAGTCAGATCCAAAAGAAGTGGAGCACTTGGGGAATGTAACTGTTTTTTTGAGGAAAGATAAAGAAAAGGAATTTTTTGAATAAGAGGAAAGTCTGGGGTCATTGGGCCAGCAGCCAGCCTTAAGTTTAAGCATCTGAAGGGGCCCAGGAAAGGAGGCGAGACAGAGCCTGGAAGGAGGGAGGGAGTCAGAGATGAGCCGAAGGCACAATGGCAACCTTTGCTTATGTTAGCAGCTGCCGTCATTTCAAGTATTATTTTCATGGGCCACCAATGCCTGGGTTATGCCATCAGGCCTACTTGAAAAACTACACTTTTTAGTTTTTCCTAATTTGGTCTGAGCTTTCCATTCTCAGCTCGTGTAAGCTAGCTTCCAAATGAGAATCTTCCTTCCTCAGTCCCTACCTGAATCTCCTTGTAGGGGCTGTGTGTCTCCCCTTTCCTGCCCCATCCTTCCTCCTCGGGCCCCTTCCCTGTGAGGATGAGTTAAGGTGCCCTCACACAGCTTCCCAAAGGTCTGTGGGATCAGACGTCCCTCAATTGCTGCAGAACTACCATGATTTTCTTTCTCTTTCCCATTCTTTCTTTGTTGATGCCTAAATAAAATCAGGTTTAATAGTTGAGTCCCCTCATAGAACACAGATTCCATGAGGGCAGGCATTATGCCTTGATGGGGTTCAGAACAGGCTGTCCCAAAAGACAGCATCTTAGCATGTTGAACATTTTAAGCTCAAGGAATTTGAGAAGAGGCAGGTCCAGGATGGTCTCTGTTCTCCCCGGAAGCAGGTCCTGAGACCCTAGAAGGGAGGTAAAAATTTTCCTCAACCCTCGTAGGGTCCCTGGCTGGGTCTGAAAATTAAACTGACAAAGATAGATTAACAGGAAAGAAGCATACAGATTTATTGAATATAAGTTTTAGGTGACACAGGAGCCTCCATAAGGAAATGAACCTGAAGAAACAGACCTGAGTATTTCTCTGCTGGGTTCCATAAAGAGTGGACAGTCAGGAGGAATATGACAGGTTAGGGAGTCTGAGGTGAGTGCAGCACCCCCGGGGAGACAGCAAGGCCTGTGTGTTCAGATTTGTGTCTTGTCTTTGCAGAGAAGATGCTCCTTTCCTCCCGGTAGAGGGAGGGCACCTGCTTTATGACCTGCTTCAGGTGGAAGGGTGAGGAGAAGGTCAGAAAAATATTCCTGCTTCTGCCATTTTCTAAAAACTCTTCAATGAAATATTCAATGTTAAGGTGCCATATTTTGGGGTAGCATGTCCTGAACCCCATCAACCCTCATGTGAGAGGTACCCTCTCTATACCTGGAGGGAAGAAACATCCTTATTTCTAAAGAAAAAGGAATGTCAAGAGGGCCCTGAATGAACAGTCCCTGCAGTTTCCCCCAGTTGACTACACTCAGCTCATGCCCTTTGTTCTATCAGTTTTCCATGACTTTCCCCTCTTCATTAAACCTAGCATAAAAACACTCAGGTTTAGCCACTTTTTCAGGTCTTTATTTCTTTGGAAAGGCTCTCATGCCATGTAAAACTTTCATTAAATAAATTTGCATGCTTGCCTCTGCTGATCTGTCTTTATAGTCTAATTGACAGGGACCCAGCTGGAGAATCTGAGATGGGTAGAGGAAGAGACTTTTTCCTCCCCAGTGCGTGGATGTGTCCTAGGTGTGTAGGCACAGTGTCTTGTGAAGAGTAGGTGCTCAGGAAATACTTAATAAATGAATGTGAATAAGGGAGACGTGGAGGCAGCTCTAGCCTTTGAGTGTAGATCCCTTAGAAAAACTTCGGGGCACTTTTTTAGTTTTAGTGGTTGATGGCACTGGATGGATATTAAGTCTAATTTCACTTAAAAATGTAAGGCTTTCCTGTTTCCTCATAAAGTTACCAGCAATAGTCCTCTTATACTCAGTCAGTCATCCCAGAGCTATGGTGGACTGGAAGTCATGGCCACAGTATTTTACACAACATCTCTATCTCCCCACCTCTTGTATCTGGACTTGCCTCAGGACTTTCTTGGACCAATAAGATATGGCAGAAGTGATGTTGAGTTGGACCTGGGAGCTGAGGCCTGATGAGGGCTGTAGCTTCCACTTTCACCCTCTTGGAAAGCTGCAGCCTTCAGATAAGGAAGCTGGCTAGATGACAGGATAATGGAAGCTTGGTGCATTGGCGGTACTTATACCAATGAGACTAAAGAAGAGTATAGATTGGGGAGAAGGCCAAGATCAGTTCATCCACTGACACTGGAATAAAGGAAGAGTATTTGGAAACAGATGCAGGTAGCTGGTGGGTGGGGTGGTGAGGCCAAATGGAAGATCTTCAATTACTATTTTCTTTGGAACAGGAAATAAAAGCTGGTAGAGAGGCTGGGAGATTAAATTAGAAGTTGAGGAGAAGAAAGATGAGAACAGCCATCCAAATGAGTGGTTGAGTGGTTTGACCATGGAGCAGCAGGAGCATCAAAGAGCTCCTAGATGTTTATGGTCATTAAAATGAGTACAGCTAGGTTTACTTGCTCAAGAGCAGTTCCAGAGGAGGTGGAAAGCTGGGATTTTTCCGGACTAGGAGAAAGGAGGTGGAGGGTACTGATGAGGTTGAAGGTGTATGCAACAGAGTAGCCAAAATGATGGAACATGGTATCTGTGTTGGTAAAGAGGGAAGTGTGAATAATTCAGGGAATAAGAGAAAGGAGAGAGTTCTGTTGAAGTTGAAGAATTATTGGCATTAGGAAGGATGAGCTGGAATGACAGGAGGAAGTAAAGTGGACTGCTTGAAACGGGGGCACACAGTGACTGGTGATTAGTAAGGTCAGGGGTGTGATCCTGGAAATGGGTGGCTCAGCTGATTGGGTTAGAAACTGAGTCTGCATAGGCATTGCAGAAATCAGCTAGGTGGATATTGAAATCACTGTGAGTTATGAATTGGGCCAAGTGTATTACTGGCTCTCATTTCTATTCTGTTGCAAGAGATCCTAATTCCCTGAACTTTTCATTCAAAGCACTCACCACAGTTTGTATTGGTCAAGTGATTATTTGACAGTAATCAGAACTGATAGTTTTTACTTACTGACATAAGTTAGCACTCAAAATGCAGAATGAATGAACGAATACTATTTTAGCTGTGGACACAGGTATAACAGATGATAGAGCCAACCTGTTTTCACATGAATGGGAAAGCAAAGCTTCACGAAGGTTTTTTTTTCTCTCTCTCTCTCTTTTTTGTCTGTTGTACTCCCTTCTCACTTTCCGGTGCTTAGTACAGTGCCTAACACACATCTGAACCGCCGAATAAATGAACTAATCACCCTCAGGATCCAACCGCGCCTGCGCTTAGAAGCCCACGAGTCGGACAAGCGCGGGCACTCTGCTCCTGCGCGGTGTCTGCGCACGCTGCGCGGCGACCGTCTCCCGACCAGGCTTTGCGGTACTAAATTTGAGCCTTGTAGGCCTCCGTAACCTTCGGGCTATCCCACGTTCCGGTTTTCTCCTCGGTGTTTTCACGCCTACTCAGCCGGGCTCTGGCCCTCCACGTCAGGGACCTGGCTGTGACGATGGCGGCTCAAAAGATAAATGAGGGGCTGGAGCACCTCGCCAAAGCAGAGAAATAGTAAGTGAGAGGCTGTAACGTGGACCTCGGTCGGGGCGCTGGACGCGCGCCCTTCCCGGCTGATGCTTTGTACGCAGCAGGGGGTTAGTGAGAGCTAGCTGGCGGCGGCCTCCCGGGGCTGCCAGCCGGGCCGGGCTGGGCCGGGCCATGGGGCCCCCGGAAGCGTGTGGCCAGTCAGCTGCCGGAAGCCGCGAGCTTCCTTTGGAGTTCCGGGCAGCCTCCGCTGCTTCTACTCTAAATGGAGTGGCTCAGCCTGGAACTGGGACTGTTCTGGGTCTGGGTCTGGGTCAGGATCTGGGTTTGGGTGGTTCGTTGTCCTGGCGCTGTTCTGTGTGTTATAGCGTGTTTGGCAGCTTTCTTGGCCGACCGGATGCCAGTAGCAGCAGGCAGCAATCCTCCCTGTTTGCCACAATCAAAACTGTCTTCTGGGGATAAAATAGCCCTGTTGAGAACCGCTGCTTTAAAAGATTCCTTTGTGTTAGGAAAGGAACTACAGATTTATCCTGAAAACTGCTCGGTGTCCCCTTGTCATGCCCCATTATATGGTTCTTGGGGCAAAAACTGACAGTCATTTTGTGTGTGTGTTCTGCCAGTTTCTGATATGGTGCCTATGAGGCACCCAACAAATACTTGAGGGACTGAGCCGCTTCTACCAACTCAGTCCTTTGGACATTCCCCTCCTTTTCAGGTTCATTACTCCAACGAATTTTATCTGTCAACTATACATAATGAAAACTGCATTGAGCCGTTTGTTAGGTAACTCTGTCCACTGTGTCTAATCCGAGATCCTTGTAGCTTTCCTGATTCTCGTTTTCCAGAAGAGGCTTAGAGAAGCCTCATAAGGACTTGCCCAAGGCTGCACAGTTGATAAATGGCAGAGCCAGTTTTTGAACAGCGGAAAAGGTCAGGGTCTTTCTGTTGTTCCACATTACTTACAGGCAGTGTACTGGGGCTCTTTTAGCGCAGGAAGTGCCCACAGTATTGCTTTCTATTGGGAGCAAGCACCAAAGTATTATTAGAATAGTGCGTGTACTAAGGACCATAGTAAAACTGTGTTAAGTGTGCTTTGGTAACAAAGGGAGAAGGTCATTCTACCCGGGGAAATCACAGAGGTGATTTCTGAGCAGGGCCTGAAAAATAGAGTTGAGCAGCTTTAATGACTTGACTGAATATGGAGGGAAAGGCTTGACTCCTAGGTTTCTAACTTGGGAGATGGAGCAGAGGAGAGAGAGAGAGAGAGAGTCCTTCAGTTAAGAAGGGGGACATAGATGAATGAACATGATGGACAGGCCAGGAAGGTGTTGAGATTCAGGCTTGAACTTGTCTTAAATGCCTCTAGATAGAGTTACCAGTAGGTGGCAGGAGAAATGGGCCAGCAGCTTAGGGAAAATACGATTTTTCTCTGTTTTCTAATGCTATATGGTTCAATACTGCCACGTAGTTTTGTAATTATAATTAATCCCCTTAGTACTGCAGTTTTTGGTCTTGTCGAAATTGACCAAACTGTTAGCCTCAACAGAATTTCCTTGTTGACTCTTGATAAAAATAATCAAAAGCAGAAACAGGTAGAGAGCCCTTACACCTAAATTAACCAGAGTGCCTTCTCTCTTCCTAATTAGAGGTATCTAGTTTTCTGTGGATGATTTGCTATATTTTTAATCTCTAGGTCTTTCCGTGTGTAGCGCATTAGGCAATTAAATGATTCACTTTTTGGTGTTTTTGGTGGGATTTTAAAAATTATGTAAATACACAAAATATAATGAGCACTTTGGGGTGGAGTGGGGGATTAGAATTTTGCTTTATAGCAATATGTCCTCAGTTTTGAGGATTAGAATAGATAGGCTGCAATTTAAGGATTTTATTTTTCTGAGCAATATTATTCTTGATTAGCTTGAAAAAAATGTTCACAAATTTGAATCTCCTAACAGTATATACATAAACACAAATGTTAATTACACTTGATTGGCAAAAAAGTGTTCCTTAAGTTACAGCCTCTAGGGATTTCACACAGCTATCACAAAATGAAGGTGTATTTCTGAGGGCTCGTGGGGATTCCCCATCTCTCAGTTAAGGTACTCCCCTGATTCCTTGGAAGCCAACAACATAATATGCAAGCGGTATTCACTAACTGTGTTGAAATTTAGACCTTAAGGTGGTATTTATTTAGCAGTTCTTACACCCAAGTTTGACAGTTTAAACTGAAAGTCTGAACTTACTTTAAAATAAAAAAGGAAATACAGTATGCAGAAAGGGCAAGTAAGATAAGAACTCAAAATTGATTGTCCTTTGGTTTGACATCTGAGAAGCCAGTACTCCTGAAAATCAGCTTTTCTTGTTTTCAGAACATCTTTGTCTTTCTGGTTATCTTTGCTGTTCCCTGTGGTTGATTCTTAGCCTTTTTTTGCTTATGCCCTCTGTTGTTCTGTGTGTGTGTTCCGTAGTCTCTCTGCCCTCTCTCTCTACTGTCTCCATAGCGGATCTTAACTGGGCTCTTGGTGTGGCATATGTTGATGACTGCAGTTAATACCCTAGCCTCTCCTGCACTTCAGTCTCAGGGATCCAAGTGCTTGGTGGGTGCTGTGCCTCAGAGGGTCTCCAGCTGTAATGCCTCTCTGGGGTTGTTACACCTGTATTGCTGCTGCCTCCACAGAGTTTCTGGTACAATAAGCCTGGGGCAGGGCTCCACAGTTTATATTTCTAGCACGTTTACTAGTAATGCTGTGTTGGGGAACATGCACCGAGACTGTCAGCTGTATTTGGATGTTATACAGACATTTCCAAAGGAGGAAAACCATTTCTATGATAGTGGAATGGAGAATGGTGGGGTTTATTTAATTGTAAATAAGTTTGGGTGGAGGTGGGTGACATGGGGACTTTGTACCTGATGGTTCCCTCTACTTTTGTATGACCTATAAGGTCCTTATAAGCAGGTTCTGACTTATGAATATGGCCGGTAATTCTGTTAAATGTGTCCTCTTTTCATTAGCCTAAAAACTGGTTTTTTAAAATGGAAGCCAGACTATGATAGCGCCGCTTCTGAATATGGAAAAGCAGGTACGTGTAACTGTAACCCTGTCTCTCTAATATATAATCTTAAAGTAGGCTGATAACTTCCTATCAGCATAATACTTAAGCTTAATGCATCTGTAAGCTTCTAACACTGAAAACAAAAAAATAAATTCTACCCAAACCCTTGAGTTTTTTTCCACTTGCTATTTTCAGATGTGTTGATGACTTACAGACCTAGGTACCTCTACCCTTTTTGTGATAGCAGAGATGGGTAGGGTAGGCAGCTGTGGGATTTTAACATGTTTATATATTCTTGAACTTGAGTTGCATACTACTTCCAGGAGTTTTGCCTTATCCCTCTATGATACTTCCTATTACTGAATAAGAATTTTCTGTCAACTTTTTAAAAAATTTAGCTTTATAATCTGCAAATCATGTGTGTGCTTGGCACATTTTTGTTACGAGCCACTCTTAGAGATACACTGATAAATGTTAAGATATATATATATATAGAGTAATAATTTATCTGTATATAAGATAAAAATGATCTGAAATACGCCCCAGACAGGGACTTTACTAAAAATTTAGGGTTTTTAATTGTGAAAATATGTCTTTTAGCATATCTGTCATTGTTTTGGATATAAAACATAACACAATTTTGAAGTAGCCTGAACACATTTTACAGTTGGTTTCAGTGGTAGTTCTGGTAAAGTTAGCCTAGCATAGAGATCCCGTAGGTAATGTGCTTTTGGCAAACTCTAGTCTCAGTATATCATCAAAGAAAAAAAGAAATAGGGTAAATTGAAACTGATTGGAATAATGCTGGATTTATTGTCTAGATAGTAAAAGAAATGACAAGAAATGAGTCCTTAACATTTTTATTTAAATTCTGAGTAAATTCTGTTGCATTATACAGATTACTTGCCATATTTAAAAGGAAAATTATCCAAAGTTCAAACGGATTTTTGGATGCCTCAGATAAGAACACTTTGTAATTGGAGGACACAGCATTTGCAAATCTCTTTGAGGGAAATTGAACACAGATAGGTTTTATATGCATCTGAGACCATGTGCTGCTTTCAAAAATAATAATTCAGGACAGATGTTCTCATTAAAGCATTCTTTGTTTATTTTATTTAAGGGATTATGCAAATTACATTTAACACTAGAATAAATTTTTTGAAAAGCAAAGTGTAGAAATCCAGGAATGAAAATAATTTCAATAGTTTGTTTACTTTCAACATTTCATTAAAGAGAACTTTAAGATTGTGTTTTTAACAAATAATGTTTTCTTAAAGCAGTATCCTTTTCACCTATTTATTAGCAACCCTTGGTAAGTTTTCCAAAATCTGTAAGATCATATTTTAGGGCTACTCCTAATTGTTTTTCTCTGATGATGACACTTTTACAATAGTGAGCAATATATTTTAGCTCTTTGGACAGTGAGATGTCTTTTTCACCTAAACAGTGTAAAATATATATTTTTTTTAAAGCACTGTAAGTTTTTTAGACATTTATTTTTAAACTTTGCACTAAAAAAGATTTATTAAAAATACTTAATGTATTTACTGGTCTTTGGTTTCTAAATAATTCAAAAGATAGACTATGGTATAACAAAAGCACTGTTTTTATTATTAAAGGTAGAACTGGTGAAGTAAGGTACTGTCTTTTGTGAGGAGTACTTGTTTGACTCATGTGATCTTAGTATCTCAAAGTTTAGATGTTGTTAGAAAGATTTGGTTTTGAGAGGAAGTAACACTGATTTATTGCCCACAGTATACAGTTAATGAAACCCAAACCCAACATTTGAAATTACTTCTAAGTTATTGATAGTCAGAAATGTAAGAAAGTTGCTTGGAAAAAAGTACAGTTGACACTTGGACAACATGAGTTTGAACTGTGTGGGTCTACTTAAGTGTGGGTGTTTTTCAGTGAACATATTGGAAATATTTTTGGAGATTTGCAGTAATCCCAAAATCAAATTTTTCTATAGCTTATTTTATTGTAAAAATATATTATATAATACACATAGCATACAAAATATGTGGTCATCAACTGTTTATGTTATTGATAAGGCTCTGGTAGGCTATTAATAATTAGGTTTTTGGGGAGTCAAAAGTTATACTCAGATTTTTGACTGCTGGTACCCCTACTCCATGTTGTCCAAGGGCCAACTGAAATATTTTACAGTTTTATGAACTTCCTAAATATTTGCTTAAAATAAGTTTATTTTCTAATACTTCACACTTCATGCAGATTTTGGTAGTAATTTATTTGAGGTTTTTTAATGATGGAGATAGACAGTCTCTTTTTTTTTTTATTGTTTCAGCTGTTGCTTTTAAAAATGCCAAACAGTATGAGCAAGCAAAAGATGCCTGTCTGAGAGAAGCTGTTGCTCATGAGAATAATAGGGCGTATCTTTTTCAGCCTTTACAAATCAGTTAAACAATTTAATGATTTTGATAAAAATTGATTATTTTGTTATGAATTTGCTACATGTGGAGGCACAATGCTATTAAATTTAAAAAATGGTTACAAAATCACCCATTTTTAAACTCTGAAGAAGCATTTACAGACTTTTTATTATAAGGTCTATGCTGTTTGCAGAGCTGTATTTGAGTTTATTTCTTTTGTTACTGAATTTGCTTAATGATGGTTTTACTTGGGATGAAGTGAGGGAAATATATAGACAGGTGCTGAAGAATGAAGCAGTAGCACAGTCCTGAAAATGTATAAACTGTAATATAAGTATTTTAAAAATATAGTCTCTCTTAAGTGTATGAAATATGGTTTTTAAGTAATTTAAAACAATTTTCCTGAGGTATTTTAAAACTTAAAAAACTAAAAACTGTATATTTTTGCCCCAGTTGCAAATTATGGTTATAATAACCTTCATTTTAGTAAAACTCTTCAGATTGATGCATAATGGAAATAGCTTAAAACTTTGGTTTTGTCAGTGTTTTTGTAAATTGTAGTTTTAAGGGACACCGATAGGCATTATATTATTTCTTCTTTATGTGATCATAGGATTTGTCTTTTGGAAACAACTGGGGCGGTGACTTAGTTAACACTGTTTTTAAATAGTATTTTTTAGGAACTGTTGATTTGCTTTTTTTCCTTAATTTTGACTTTGTTACATGCATTCAGTCTTTTTCATGCTGCCAAGTAAGTAGTCTCCACATTTCCATGTATTTGCAGATTATTATGTTTTAAATGTTTTTTCCATAGGCCAGGAGATTTTTCTTAAGTTATAAATTTATAAATAGTGAATTATTTTGTATGGATTTAAGTAAAATAGTCATTTGCATTTGGTTCAACCTGAACTTGAACATTAAAAATGAAGTCACTCCTAATTAAAATACAGTGTTCACCATAATATTTTTAGGACTATTTGTTCAGTAACCTAGAAAAAACAAGTGGGTTAGATGCTCTTTTTCCCTCTTCTTGATAGTTATAGTGCTTGTGGAGGGAAGCAGCAAGCTTTCTCCTGCCTTTATAGAGAGTGCTTGTTTCAAAACTTGGATGTAGGTTTGTTAAATGTAAAATCATTTAACCTTTCTGAGCTTTACTTAATCTTTTACATCTGCAAAATAACATCCTTTTTGGCTCCTATGCCTTGTATCCTATGCATTCTTGCCCGTGAAAGTGAAGGAAAAAATTGTATGGTAATAAAAGCCTAAAGTAATAAGTAGTGCCTGAGCCGGTTTTAATTGACATAACTTCTCATATCTGTGGTAGAAAGTTGCTCCTCCCCTTATTTCATTAATATCTCATCTGAGAAATTATATTCTCTTTGCAGAGCTTATGAGCAAGCTGGCATGATGTTGAAGGTCAGTAATGTTGTGTCATAACTCTTCTGTAGTTGAAATGAATTAACTACAAAGTGTTAAATCTGTGTTGAGGTTGAAAAGTCTCCTTGCTAAGGTGGAGATGCTAAAATTTCTTGTCCAAAGTAATGCTAATTGGACCCATAAAGTACCTTATGTTTATCTTAAGATAGGGAGTTTCATATGTGAAATTTAGGAGAGGATGTTTTAGAGGGAACTAGGAGCAACAAGGTCCTAAGCTTTGTAATTAGTGTGTTGCTAAAAAAAGAGCTATGTGGGAGAGTTCTTTGCTTTTGAGAACTTCAGGATATCTTCATGTAGTAAAAATTCACAAGTATATATTTTTTACTATCCATGGGTTATATAGAAAGAAGAGATTTTTGGTAGTTTTATGAGTATCAGTTGGTATTGAGGAGAACCTTAGACTAAGCTATTGTTATTTAACTCTGATTCTTATTAAATGGAGTATTTTGGCTAATGTGCCTAAGCTGCTATTCATACTTCTTAAAAGCAGGTTGGGAATTAATATCCTACTGTGGTGAGACAAAACATGTTATTTTATGACACTGACTCTCAAAGTATGTCAAGTGGCAATTGAAATAGAACGTTTTCCTTTCCATTTTTATGTTCTCTTATAATATGGTACAAGCTGTTTTGAATTATTTATTTATTATAAAGCTTTGTTGTAAGATTTAGTAAAGCTTTTGTTTTTAGTTTCTGTGATTTATAATCCCAACTTTACTGTTTTTCTTTTTTAAGTGAATACACACTTATTGTAGAACACTTAGAAACACTGGAAAGATTTTAAGATGTTAGTAATAACTTTATATGTTTAGTTTTTTTCCTTCTGGTATTTTTCTATATATGTATATGCACGCACACAAAACTGAGATTAAGGCTCTACACACAGTTTTGTACCTTCCTGTTTACATATAACTTTCTATGCAGATTTTCTAATATTATTTTAAAAAATACTTTCATAATATATATCAAATACTTCAAGAATTTTCATAGCCTTTGACCCATGAATTCCAGTTCTGTGACTCTATTATAAAGAAGTAGAGAGATAGCAAAGATTTATGCCACATTAAGAAAAAAATGACAATTATCTCAATTTTTAATAACAGGAAACTGTTGATATTATAATGCTTCCTTATGATAAAGTGTTACATAGCCATTGTAATAAAGCTTTCCTAGTTGAAACATGTAACCACATTTATATTGATGATACAAGTCAGGTTATCAGCAGTAATTCCTTAGCAACTAGAATTTCTTTTACAGCTGAAGGAGCCAGCTGTCTGCCCTGACTTCCTCCTGTCTCAGTTTCCCCTGAGAATGAGGAAGCTCTCAGGTGGCTCTTGCAGTCTTGGTGTACTTTGTGCCTATTATTAGGATACACTGTCTTTGTCCAGAAATACCAGAACACTACAATGCATGATCCTCACAACCTCAGCATATATTGTGCTGTGCTTAGTTGAATTGTCATCAAAAGTTATTATTCAGGCATCATTGCCATAACTCTAGTATCTGCTTAATTTGAGCATTTTAAAGGCACTGGTTTGAAGGAAGGAGAACAACCTAATGATAGGGAAAAAGAAGAAAATGCTTTCTGGCATGCTGTTGAGCTTAAATTAAATGCTTTTGGATAGTCAGTCCCCAGCTGCTTTAGGAGTCCTGAGCCACATAGTCCACAGTTAATTTTGTGGGCTAAAATTTCCACCCATTTGTCATGCAGACCTTCACATTCATCCCCCAGTGAGATTTAGGAAGTGGCCGTTGTAGATGAAGGCACAGGGAAGAAGACACAGGAACTTGTTGGCTCAACCTCTGGCTTTGCCATGTTACAGCTGTTAGGATTTCATATCCTGTTTGCTCCCCAGAAGCGGTAAGTTTGCCAGGTCACATAAGCTACCAAAAATAGGCATAATTCTATTTTCTTCTTCATGATTTTGTGTTATGAGGAGCACAGTGAAGAGTATGAAATAGTTTAACTTTTAAACTCATCATTTTTTATAGAGAGTTACCAGTATTGTCATTGGGCCTCTTATTCACAGTCACTCTTGATTTGGTGCAAAAAGTAGGGAGATACACATAATAATTTTTAAACGTAATACTTCTATGGTGCTTACATCATACTGCCCTTTTATTGTAGTTACTGCTCTATGTCTTGTCTTTGAAGGTAAAACTCAGGAAGGACAGTACTTTTTTTTTTTATCTCCCCAAATGTTTTGCATGTTGTAGTTGCTCAGTATATATTTAATTCATGGATAAGTGAATTGGGGGAAGAAATCTATAAAGCCAAAGTCACCCTCAGGACAAAAGGGAGTGAAACAGATTGACTTAGTTCCCTTTCCTCTCAAATATCACTCATCATATACTCTAGATTCTTGATTCTTTTTGACCTTTGGTTTCTATAACAATAAAGGGTTTTTTCACCCAGGTTTGAGGACATATTAACTGATGTAACTGCACTTGATTACAGTAGCAGCTTTATTTTGTACAGTATCTTTCAGTCTATTTTATTATTTAGCTCCATAGCTAAATAATTTAAAAGTTATATTTTGAAGTTGGTAAGAATAAGACCAGCAAGTTTTGTATCCTAAAGAATTTGTCAACCAAGTGAGGGACTTAACAGGTAGATTTGAAAACAACCCCTGAGATGTCAGTGTGGCACCTACTTTGAGACATAGCATGTCAACCCTAAGTAGATCATGCCTATAAACTAGCTTTTGTATGTTTTTTTTTTCAGTTTTTAATAAAATGAGTTTGGCTTGTAGATATTAGATATAAAGACCATAGAATACTGAGACTATTGTTCAGTAGCAGGATACAGACCTATTTTGTTGATGGCACTCAGTGTGGAACAGGGTCAAAAATTCAGATGAACTGAGGGTATAGGAAAGGCACTGAAATGAAGGAGCAGTAGGTGGGGAGAAACCCGGTCACATTCAGGAGATGGTATGCCTCCAGGGGACAGCTGCTGCTCAGCCCTGGCCCACTGTTGCCATGTGGGAATGCGAACCTGCTGATGCCATTTCTTTTGATGTTTTTATCAAATAGGAAGCCATAAAACAGAACTTTTGTGAGAGTATCTGATTTTAAAATACAAGCAAGACACACTTAGAAATGAGATACAGCCCTTTTTTAAGCGCTACCAGTTGTCAACCTTTGGCATAGGCCTTATTTAAAATAGGGATTGAGAAAATGTTTCAACAATTGTAAATGTTTAAGAAACAGTAAAGAGCACGTGTTTTGGTTTCTGCTATTTGTATAGTTTCCATGAAACACTGACATGATGATGGGCTCTGTGTAGAAATTAATTGATGCATTTTTGGTTTGGCTAAATGAAGCCATTTACTTGATGGGGAAAGTAACCATGTGAAGGCATTTGAATTTAAATGTGTTTACTGTGTCCGACATTTTGAATCACTTATTTTCATGAATTAGGGATAAAACAATTGAATTTCTGATTGTTAACTCTGTGTCTTTTAAGTTGATGCATTTACTGATCTATGATGTAACTTTTACCCAAAGGAGATGCAGAAACTACCAGAAGCGGTTCAGCTGATTGAGAAAGCCAGCACGATGTATCTGGAAAACGGCACCCCAGACACAGCGGCCATGGCTTTGGAGCGTGCTGGAAAGTGAGTGCGCAGAACATGAGTCTCTGCATAGAGTCATTATTTTTTTGCTTTAATAATGTCCTTTGAAAAACAATTTTTCTGTTTCTCAAGTAAGTCACATTTTCTTGTCTGATTTAGGCTTATAGAAAATGTAGATCCAGAAAAGGCTGTACAGTTGTATCAACAAACAGCTAATGTGTTTGAAGTAAGTTTGGATTTTTTTTTCTTTATGTATACTTAGAATGTTTAGATTCATAATGTATAGAACAGAGAAGTGCAGCAGGTAGTTTTTTGAACATTACAGTGCTCACAATTGAGCTCTATTTTTGGTATTAGAAAAATAATAGAATTAATAAGCAGCTATGGTGTCCCCCTCCCTTGGCTGAGTGCATTACTTTTTTAACAAATAATAATTGGGGGTGGAAAAGGTTCCTACATTAAAGCAGCCAGCTCTCCTTTTGATTCCCTCAGAATGAGGAACGCTTACGACAGGCAGTTGAGTTACTGGGAAAAGCCTCCAGACTGCTAGTACGAGGGCGCAGGTAAGTTTTACACAACTGTGTTCATGTATGTCTGTGTATAGGCACACCTTGTTTCATTGTGTTTCACTTTATTGCACTCACAGATACTACACACTTAAAAATTGAAGGTTTGTGGCAACCCTCTGTAGAGCAACTCTGTCGAGCCTTTTTTCTAATAGCATTTGCTTACTTTGTGCCTCTGTTGCATTTTGGTAATTCTCACAATATTTCATTCTTTTTCATTATTATATTTGTCATAGTGATCTGTCATCAGTGATTACAATATGCTGAAAGCTCAGATGGTGGTTAGCATTTTTGGCAATAAAAACCGGTATATATGTTAATTGCATTTGGTTTGTTATTACTGCTTTACCTATTTCACCCATCCTCCCCACCCCCACCACTCCCTGTGGCAACAACCAATTGTACTTATTAGTCTATTTCTGTCTTGTTTGTTTGTTTTGTTTTTTTTTAGATTCCACATATAAGTGAAATCATGCAGCGTATGTCTCACTCTTTCTTATTTCACTTAACATAATACCTTCTAGGACCATTCATGTTGTTGAAGATGGCAAACTTTCATTCTTTTTATGGCTAATTCTGTTGAATATACTTACTATTCTTCTTTTTGCTACAGTTCTTTTTTTTTTAATTAAGGTATCATTGATATACACTCTTATGAAGGTTTCATATGAGAAAACAATGTGGTTACTACATTTCCTATATTATCAAGACCCCACCCATACCCCAATGCAGTCACTGTCCATCAGTGTAGTAAGATGCCACAGATTCACTGTTTGCCTTCTCTGTGCTACACTGTCTTCCCTGTGACCCCCCACACCATGTGTACTAAAGATAATACCCCTCAATCCCCATCTCCCTCCCTCCCAACCCGCCGTTCCACACCCTTCCCTTTTGGTAACCACTAGTCCCTTCTTGGAGTCTGTGAGTCTGATGCTGTTTTGTTCCTTCAGTTTTGCTTCATTGTTGTACTCCACAAATGAGGGAAATCATTTGGTATTTGTCTTTCTCTGCCTGACTTATTTCACTGAGCATAATACTTTCTAGCTCCATCCATGTTGTTGCAAATGATAGGATTTGTTTCTTTCTTATGACTGAATAGTATTCCGTTGTGTGTATGTACCACATCTTTTTTATCCATTCATCTACTGTTGGACACTTAGGTTGCTTCCATATCTTGGCTATTGTAAATAGTGCTGCGATAAATATAGGGGTGCATATGTCTTTTTGAATCTGAGAAGTTGTTTTCTTTGGGTAAATTCCTAGGAGTGGAATTCCTGGGTCAAATGGCATTTCTATTTTTAGTTTTTTGAGGAACCTCCATATTGCTTTCCACTAATGGTTGAACTAGTTTACATTTACAGCAGTGTAGGAGGGATCCCCTTTCTCCGCATCCTCGCCAGCATTTGTTGTTCCTAGTCTTTTGGATGTTGGCCATCCTAACTGGTGTGAGGTGATCTCATTGTGGTTTTAATTTGCATTTCCCTAATAATTGGCGATGTGGAGCATCTTTTCATGTGCCTGTTGGCCATCTGAATTTCTTCTTTGGAGAAGTATCTGTTCATATCCTTCACCCATTTTTTAATAGGGTTTTTTGCCGTTTGGGTGTTGAGGCATGTGAGTTCTTTATATATTTTGAATGTTAACCCCTTGTCGGATTACAAATATATTCTCCCATACTGTAGGATGCCTTTTTGTTCTGCTGATGGTGTCCTTTGCTATACAGAAGATTTTTAGCTTGATGTAGTCTCATTTGTTCATTTTTGCTTTTATTTCCCTTGCCCAAGGAGATGTGTTTAGAAAAAAGTTGCTCATGTTTATATTCAAGAGATTTTTGCCTATGTTTTCTCCTAAGAATTTTATGGTTTCATGACTTATATTCATGTCTTTGATCCATTTTGAGTTTACCTTTGTTTATGGGGTTAAACAATAATCCACTTTCATTCTCTTGCATGTAGCTGTCCAGTTTTGCCAACACCAGTTGTTGAAGATGCTGTCATTTTCCAATTGTATATCCTTGGCTCCTTTATTGTATATTAATTGACCATATATGCTTGGGTTTATATCTGAGCTGTCTAATCTGTTGCATTGGTCTATGGGTCTGTTCTTGTGCCATTACCAAATTGTCTTGATTACTGTGGCTTTGTAGTAGAGCTTGAAGTCAGGGAGCATAATCCCCCTCACTTTATTTTTCCTTCTCAGGACTGCTTTATTTGGGGTCTTTTGTGGTTCCATATGAATTTTAGAACTTTTTTCTCTGGTTCGTTGAAGAATGCTGTTGGTATTTTGATGAGGATTGCATTGAATGTGTAGATTGCTTTAGGCAGGATGGCCATTTTGACAATTAATTCTTCCTGTCCATGAGCACAAGATGTGTTTCCATTTATTGGTGTCTTCTTTAATTTCTTTAATTTCTCTCATGAGTGTCTTGTAGTTTTCAGAGTATAGATCTTTCACATCCTGATTAGGCTTATTCGTAGGCGTTTTATTCTTTTTGATGCAATTGTGAATGGAATTGTTTTCCTGATTTCTCCTTCTGCTAGTTCATCATTAGTGAATAGGAATGCAACAGATTTCTGTGTATTAATTTTGTATCTTGCTACTTTGCTGAATTAAGATATTAATCTAGTAGTTTTCGAGTGGATTCTTTAAGGTTTTTTATGTACAATTGCTTTAGTTCTTTTTTTTAAAAATTTAAGTATAGTCGATATACAATCTTACATTGTTTTCAAGTATACAATACAGTGACTCAGCAGTTGCCCATATTATTAAATCCTCATCCCCACTAGTGTAGTTACTATCTGTCAACATAGGAAGATGTTACAGAATCATTGGCTGTATTCTCCATGCTATACTACCATTCCGGTGACCAATTTATATTATGATTGAGAATTTTTATGCTCCTTTATCTCCCTCACTTCTCCCCCACCTCACTTCAGCCCCTTCCCCATGGTAACCAGAAGTCACTTCTTATTGTATGTGAGTCTAGTGCTGTTTTGTTAATTTTGTTTTGTTTTGTTTTTATTGTCCACAAATAAGTGAAATTGTATGGTATTTGTCTTTGTCCTCCTGGCTTATTTCACTTAGCCTAATAGTCTCTAGGTCCATACATGTTGTCACAAATGACAAGATTTCATTTTTTATTGCCAAATAATATATTCCATTTTATATTTGTACCACATCTTCTTTATCCATTCATCTATTGGTGGACACTTAGGTAGCATCCATACCTTGGTAATTTTAATGTGGCAATAAACATAGGAGGGCATCTGTCTTTTTGAACCAGGGATTTTGTTTTCTTCACGTAAATTCCTGTAAGTGGAATTATTTGCTTTTATGGTATTTCTATTTTTAGTATTTTGAGGAACCTCCATACTGCTTTCCACAGTGGCTGCACCAGTTGACATTCCCACCAACAGTGTGAGGGTTCGCTTTTCTCCACATCCTTGCCAACACTTGGTAGTTCTTGTCTTTAGGATAATGGCCCTTCTGACTGGTGTGAGATGATACCTCATTATGGTTTTGATTTGCATTTCCCTGATTATTAGCTATGTGGAACATCGTGTCATATGCCTGTTGCCATCTGTATTTCTTCTTTGGAAAAATGTTCAGGTCCTCTGCCCATTTTTTAATTTGGTTAATTGTTGTTGTTTTTTAGGTGTTGAGTAGTATAAGTTTTTTATATATCTGGATGTTAACCCTTCATTGGGATTAACATAAACAATAAATTGTTTATGAATGTATTCTTCTATACTGTAGGTTGCCTTTTTGTTCTGTTCATGGTATCTTTTGCTGTACAGAAGCTTTTTAGTTTGATGATAAGAGCTTTATGGTTTCATGTCTTAAATTTAGGTCTTTAAGACATTTTGAGTTTACTTTTGTGTGTGGAGTTAGACAGTAATCCAGTTTCATTCCCTTACATGTAGCTGTCCAGTTTCCTCAACACCATTTATTCAAAAGAGTGTCTCTCGTATACTCATGGCTCCTTTATCATATATTAATTGACCATGTATGTGTGGGTTATTTCTGAGCTCTCTATTCTGTTCCATTGACCTATGGGGTCTGTTCATGTACCAGCACCAAACTGTTCTGATTCCATTGGCTTTGTAATAGAGCTTGAAGTCAGAGAGCATAATCCCCCCAGCTTTGTCCTTCCTTCTCAGGATTACTTTGGCTACTCAAGGTCTTTTGTGGTTCCATATGAATTTTAGGATTATTTGCTCTTAGTTCCTTGAAAAATACCATTGGTGTTTTGATTGGGATTGCATTGAATCTGTAAATTGCTTTGGGCAGGATGGCCATTTTGATAATATTAATTCTTCCTATCCATGAGCGTGGGATAGATTCCATTTATTGGTGTCTTTAATATCTCTCATGAGCATCTATGTATCACATCTTTTTATTCCATTAATCTTTTGGACACTTAAGTTTCCATGTCTTAGCTTTCAAAATAATATGGTGGTAAACATAGGAGCATATGTCTCTTTTCAAATTGATTTTATTTTCTTTAGGTAAATACCTAGAAGTTGAATTACTTTGTTGTATGGTATTTCTATTTTTAGTGTTTTTAAGAAACCTCCATACTGCTTTCCATAGTTGCTGTACCAATTTACATTCCCACTAACAGGGTACAAGGGTTGCCTTTCCCTTTTCTCCACATTATTTTTTAGACATAATGCTGTTGCACACTTAATAGACTACAGTACAGTGCACACATAGATTTTTTTATGCACTGGGAAACCAAAACATTCATTTGATTCTTCTTTTTTGCAGTGTTCATGCTATTGCTAAGGTCTGGAACTGAACCTGCAGTATCTATCTCTGAGGTCTGCCTGTACTAAGTTTTCTTCACAGTGTTAGTGAGGGGGAGAAGTGTAAATCGAGTGAGTAGGAGTGAGTGCTGTGTGGATACGCTTGGAAGGTGGACATTTGGCAGCCAATGAGTCTTTTATTTACTTTGCACATTTGTTTTATTGCTTTTTCTCTTTTTAGTAAAAATGCATTTTAAATGATGGAATTGTATACAATGTTTTGAACAAAAATTAATTTCATGGAAATTTAAAAAAATGTACCAGTATAAAAATTGATTTAGGTTTATTAAATTTATTCAAGGAATAGTAAGGAATTTGATAGTTTAGAAACTATCACTGGTTATGTGCGGTATGAAAGAATTAAAAGTCAGATGTTGCATTACTTCTGTCAGGAATTTAAGTAGTACAGAGTCAAAAACATGGATAATCTACACTAATGGGTAATTAAGATAATTTATATGATATTTGAATATCTTGAGTACATACTTTGATTATAATCTGATTTGAGTTTATCAATTGCCTAAAAGAGCTAAAACAGTTGGCAGTTTTGTACTTTATATGAATAACATCTTCTAGAATGTGACATGAAATTTCAAAGTTTATATTTGTTATATTTAGTTAATATGTGATATTTTTACATTAACATGAGAGTGTAAGATTTAATCCTAACTTAACTATAGTTTATATCCTAGTATCACAAAATTAAATACCCTATTAATATATTGATATTAGTCTACTCTTCCCTCATTTTTGGAGATTCGTAATTCAGGAGTGAGGGATTTCATTTTGATCACATCTTGGAGGCTATCAGTCAGTGGTAGATCAATGCCCTTGTTCCGTCCTTGTAAAGGCCTTTCCAACAAGTTCATCTGACTTAACAGTGAGACTTAGATTCCTGTGCCTTCCACAGAAGTTCTGAGGCAGCTGAGCAGACAGACACACTGTTGTTGGCTGTCAGTGACCCATATTCAGAGCACCTTCTCAGCTTTGTTTGCGGTTCCCAGTGAGGGGGAGAACCTGGCATCCATGTTAATCAACCAACCCCACCTCTTCCCATTCCCCACTTCGGAGACTCAGTCTCTCTTGGACTCTCACCAGTCAGCTGAGACAGTCCCTAAATTCCAAACACAGGGAGGACTGGGTGTGTGTATGTGGGGTAGGTTCTAGTTGAGGATAATCACTAGGTTTGTCTTGCATAACTGTGTCCTGTCCATTGTGATGTCCTGCGATGATGATAAGCTTAGTTGGCAATGTGATGAGAACTTTATAGATAGATGGAAATACATTTTGGAGTTCAGGGGGTTGTTGGGGCATGAGGAGGAGTTTCAGTCATTGTGAAGGAAATGAGAGCTGGGTTGAGTGAGGTCCTATGACAGTTTCCTGTCATAAGCACATCTTTTGTCTGGGGCTGACATTTTATTTTTGAATTACAGAAGATAAAATCAATTTATTCTCTTTTCAGCAAAACTGGATGCATTCTACTTTGTTAGAAGTATTAAGTACCTCTGTGTTTCATTATGATAATGAATAATTTCCCGGGTATATTTGAATTACAAACCTATCTAAATATATAGTATTTCTCTTGAATGGCTGTTTTGCGAAGCAGCTATTAGCACATGGAAATGCAGTTCTTATGCCAAGGAAATAAGTAATTCATGTGTGAAGAATATAGACTTTAGCATTAAATATATGAAAAGCTTGAAATACTACGATTTCCATTAAAATGATATAATCTGGACATTATGTTCACAGAATGTTCTGATGGAATTTATTTTATAAAGCAGGATATGTGATAAGCTTGTGGTTATAATTACAAATGATATAGGTACATGTAATCCTTCCATGTTAATTTTCTATTTCTGCATAGCAAAAACCCATAATCCTAGCAGCTCAAAACAATACTCACTTACTGTCTCACAGTTCTGTGGGTCAGCAGCCCAGGCACAGAGTAACTGGGACCTCTGCTCAAGGTCTCACCAGGCTGAAACTGTGCTGTCTGGTAGGGCTACCATCTCCTTCGAGGCTCACTAGTTGTCGGCAGGATTCTGTTTCTTGCTGCTGTAGGGTACACATGCGTTTCTTGTTGGCCATTGGCCAGGGGCTCCTCTCAACTGTGGCAGCACCTGCCTTTCTTTGGCATGTGCCCTCGAGGTTGTTTACAACGTGGAGTTTGCTGCTGTTTCAATGTTGGCAAGAGCACATCTGTGTTCACTTCTAATTGCTCACCTTTCAAGGGCTCACCTGATTACGTCAGGCTCATCCATACGTTCTCTCTTTGAGTCCACTCAGAGTCAGGTGATGAGTATCCTGCTCACATGAGTGAGTCCCATCATATTCAGAGGCCTTTCCCACATTCAAGGGGAGATTATACAGGGAGTGTGTATGAGAGAGAATCTTGAAGGGATAATCTTAGAATTCGGCTACCATGTCCAACTTAAAAACTGACTTTGTTCCCAAAAGTTAGCAAGTTGATCTTTGAAAATTCAGAATGCATTTCTCCAAAGAGCCTTAATTTATGAGGTAGTAAATTAGGGTACAGACCACAAAAAATTGAATTTAATTCAAACGTGATTTAAACCAAGCGTGTGTGTGTCCGTGTATATGCATGGTTATTTTTAAAAGATAATTGTTAAGATACAAATACAGTATAATATTTTCATATCTTTAGTTTGGATCACAGTAACACTTTTCTCCCTCTGTGTCTTAACTATGTGCACCCTTTTGCCTAGAGGGATGAGAGGACTTATTCAGTCACAAGTTAGGTGCTTGTAAGCAGCCTGTGGGTAGGAGTGTCCCCCAGCTCCACAGGCAGGGGGGGATCTGGTTAGGGTGTGGTGGGATTGGGAGTTAGGGAGTGGGGCCTCAGAGGATTTGGGGGAACTTTCCTCGTCCTTCTTCCATGGGAGTGGGATGGAGAACAGGGAAATGTGTGAGAGTAGATGGAAAAGAGGAAGGAGGATCAGAGGTGACAGGAAGACTTTCTCTAGCCTCGTCGCTGCTGCGCTTTTGGCTCCTCAAGGCAGCTGTGGAGCATGCGACGGCCAGGAGCGGGCAGGAGAAGGGGGTCTTCAGCAGGCAGGCAGTGCTCTCAGAGCGTCTGGATAGCCTTTCTGTGGAAGGAAGGACATCTGGGGTGATTAAATCAGGAATTGTCTCTCCTACTTTTTACAAACGTTTACAGAGCAGTTTGTTGAATTTGATAAATTCTCATTAATGGATGATCCTTACAAGACTTTAAAACTTTCCATTTGAAATAATGTATTGTTAAGTTCTTCTGCTTCACCTGTCTTCTTGATGCCCAAGGGAGCAAGCTGAGCATCTGAAAGACAAGCCAGATGAGCAGAGCTCATAGAAACATGGCTTATGGAGCAGTTGCTCTTGTAGCCTGGTAACCTCTTTAATTCTCTGAAATCTGTACTATCAAGTATTGTACAGAAGTGGCCTTTGCTACAGATCATTTAGAACTGCCTTGTTTTACAGTTCTTTGTTTTGTCTTTAGGTTTGATGAGGCAGCACTCTCTATTCAGAAAGAAAAAAATATTTATAAGGAAATAGAGAATTACCCAACATGTTATAAGGTATGCTTTGAAAGTGCTTATTTTTGACTTTACATTAGGTAGTTTTTCATATTGGTGTAACTGTGTACTTGAGACTAGATTCCATGGATATTTGTCTATTCGTGTATTTTTTTAAAATAAAACTTCATGGGCCTCTGTTTTTGGCCAAGATGAAATACACCCACTGTAGACTACCCTGCTGATTACAAAACCTTAGGACAACATACAGAAAGCAATTACCTGCAGACTCTGAAAAGTGCATAAAAGCAGGACTGTGGAGGAGCTAAGCACTTAGAGAAGCAACCAGCACGGGACTGGGTTCCAGCATTTTCCCCTATGTTATCTTGCAACACTACCTTGAATCTCCCCCAGTCCTGGAGCTGGGCAATAGAGGCTCCAGTAGCTAACATTCCCACAAACCCATCTTCCTCATCTTCTAACCAGATGAACTGGGGAAAGAGGAGGCTCCATTGTTTTCCTCTCTTTTCTCTCTCTTGTCTTTGCTCTGAGGGACTAGGAAGATGAGCTAAGAGAGCAAGGAGAAAACTCCAGAAAGGAGAGGTAGAAAGAGCATTTGCCTGCAAGAGAGAAAGAGAGAGTGTGTGAGTGTGTGTGTCTCTCTGTGTGCACGTGCATGAGCATGTGTGCCCACACAACTCTTGGGTTTACTCTCCAGTTGTGCCATGTGTGGGACAGACCCAGAGTTAGCAGAGCACAGGCTTTGAGAACTGATGTAAGATGAAACCACCATCCAGGGGGCACCTCTGCAGGACTCATGTGTGCAGAGCCACTACCCAGCAAAGTAGACAGAACATGCAGTGGGTACCTTTCTGTGGCGACTGCCTGCAGCAGACATCCACGCTTTCCTCACAATTACAGGAGCATCTATAGAGCAGAACATTCACAGTGTCCAGGATACAGTCTCAAGTTATCCAACATGGAACCAAGAAAATATGTCCAGTTGTTGAGAGAAAAGATAATTCACACCAACCCAGAGATGACCCAATGTTGGAATCATCAGGTTAGGACTTTGAAGCAGCAGTTTTAACTGCTCCGGGAGGTAAAAGTAGACACAGGTGAAATGAATGGACAGAAGGACTGATCTTTTTTTCTTTTATAGAAACTACAAAAATGAACTGAATGAGAATTTTAGAACTGAAAAAGTAATGTCTAAAAGTAATTAAATGGGCTTAATCTAATAATGGAGTTTGAAGAGTCAGTGAACTTGAAGATGAATCAATAAAAGTTACCCAAAAAATAGAGATGAAAAAGATTGAAAAACACTTTAGGAAGAGCTATTTTGCCAATAAGATCTTCTCACTCATATCTTTAATATTATTAATGCTTTTGTTGGCTTATAAATAGTATTGTTTCTGTTATCTAAAGTTTTCATTTGTTCATTTTTTTGGTAATATCTCTTTAAAAATTCCAAAGTGTAATTGTAGAATTATGGATGCCCCCTCTTTTCTATTTCCTTATTTCCTTCTCAAGTTTAAGTCTATATAGATATTTAAAAGAAATTATCTTTTCAAAATGTGTGGGGTTACAGTCTGAGGCTTTGTCACTGAAAGTGTGGTCCTCAGATGGGTGGTATCGGGAGAACCTAGGAGAAACAGCAGAATCTCAAGCTTGCTCCTAGCTAAATAAATAGCAGTCTTCATTTTAACAAGACCCTTGGGTAGTTTGTATACACATTAGAATTAGAGATACACAGTTTTGGAATAGTTTCCCTCAGATGTCCTGTGGAAGTTACTGCAGAATTTATAAATTAATCTGTATACAGATCAGGACTCTGAAAGTTAAATTTCCAGATATCAGGAAATTGACTTTGTTACATAGATACACACCTGTACCATAATTACCTCTTTCATTGTAGAAAACAATTGCTCAAGTCTTAGTTCATCTGCACAGAAATGACTACGTGGCTGCAGAAAGATGTGTCAGGGAGAGCTACAGGTAAGATGGTGACCTTGCTGTCCTGACTTGCAGTGTTAACATTTCCATTTCTTACTCTAAGATTACTGCTTAGAAAGATATTCCTGGCCACAAAACTATTGTTTTTAAAGTAAATTTAGTAGTGATAGGAACACTTGACTATAATTTCAGCTCTTACAGCAGGGTTTTACAAGTTGTGTGTTCTTCCCTGTGTTTTCTCCTGGGAGCTTCCATGGGAGTGAAAGACCTGAGTGATTTTGTTGTATTTGTCTTCTAAAAAAAAAAGAAGGAAAATAAAGTTCTCAGAGTATATGTTACAGGAAGATCACTTCTTGTTAGAAATACCTAAAATGGGGAGTCTCCGTCTGGGCACTGTTGATGTTTGTTCTGTGTAATTGTTTGTTGTCGGGCCTGTCCTGTGTATTGTAGGATGTGTAGCCACATCCCTGGCCTCTATCCACATGTGACAATTAAGAATGTCCCCAGACATTGCCAGTTATCTACTAGGGGCAAAGATATCCTTGGCAGAGCAGCATCTGTTGAGGAGGTGGAGAGATGTGACCTGTGCTTGCTGCAGCATTCCAGGGTTCAATGGAAGTGAAGACTGTGCTGCCCTAGAACAGCTCCTCGAAGGGTACGACCAGCAAGATCAAGAGCAAGTGTCAGACGTCTGCAACTCACCACTTTTCAAGTACATGGACAATGATGTAAGTGGCCTTTTGGTTAACTTTCTTCTTTCCTCTTGAAAGGAAGAGGGTTCTAGTGAGATTATTTTCCTTCCCTGGACTTGTAAGATTTTCTCCCTCTGGTTTTCACCTCAGGCCACTTCTCAAAAAGGATGTTGGCATTTGCACTGAACTTCACTCTAGGTTTGGATTGTTTGGATGTCAGCCATGTGGGTTTACTGTCTAACCGTGTTGACCATATGTGTATTTTTTAAAATCTGCCCTGTTTCTCAGCTTCTCCTTCCATCTGCTGGCCTCTATAGGTTACTGAGTTTATTAAGTTTCCCTTAGGCTCACTGTCTGAAAGAGGCCCATTGTGTAGTGGCCTTCATAACACAGTAGACTTGTTGGAATCCTACTTCTATGACAACTAACAGGTTATTAATTGTCTTTAAGCCTCAGGTAACTCTTCTGTAAAAATGGAGCATCTGATCCCTGTCTTGGCAGCCTGTTGCAAAGAGTGGATTATTTTGTATACAAAGTATGGCCTCACGTGGTGCCTTACACAGAAAGTGAGCCATTACTGTGGGTTTCTCTTCTGTTGCATTTCCCATTTCAGTAGATTTGTGAGCACTTGTTCATTTGACTTACTCATTTGACTTTTGGCCTTAAGCTTATCATGGTATTAGATCAGTTTAATACCTTTAATTTTTTTATAATGATATATGTAGAGGTATCAAATTTATTCTAGACAAATTCTTACATAGACTTTTGTAAATTTGTATATGTTTAAAATTTGACCCTAGCTTACACTCTTCATTTATACAACAGCTCTTTGTTCATAGGTACTACAAGTGTTGTTTAACTCAGGTGTCCCAGTTATGTGAATTACTGTACTTATGTGAGGTTAATTGATATTTTTGCTAGTTGGGCTCCTGTTGCATTGAATTTTGTCACGGTTGTTTTCCTATCTAGATGGTACTATTGGTTTTTGTGATGTAGGGAACTAGGATCTGTCTTTTATAGGTAACCGTTGTTGAGACGTTGTGTATGAGATCCTGGTTACCAGCTTTTGATACCAGCTTTGTTGTTGACAGTATGCCAAGCTGGGCCTGAGTTTGGTGGTACCAGGAGGGGGAATCAAGAAGAAATCAGCAGTAGCAGCACAGGCCAAGCCTGAAGGCACTGCTCCCGGTGCTGAGGAGGAAGAGGATGAATATGCCGGCGGGCTCTGCTAGGGCCTGGCTTCACTTCGCACGAGGGAAGGGAAGAATCCCCACGCACCATCCGTGGACTTGGAACTTGTCAGGGGGGCCCAGACTCCATTGCAGTCTTGGTTTTGAATGCTAATAAATACTCATTTTTAGCTACCATTTCCCCAGATCACCCTGTATACCCACTACCTGTGGCGCATTTTTTTTTTCTTACCATGGTGAGAGCTTTTCTAAGACACCAGCAGAAATTAACACAAAAATGTACTGTCATGTTTTAATGCAGTTGATTTTCAAAATTACAAGCCAAATTCTAGATAAATTCCATCCTAAACAAAAGGGACAATAGGCATAGATATTCTTTTCTCTCAGGCTCTTATAATTTATTGTTAGAGAATTTTCTTTGCATTTTATTTAACAATTGCTGCTAAAAGTGAAGTTTACTGGTTAAACAAAATGGTATTTAAACATTTGTTTCATTCTCTTTTAAAAGGAAATTTATCCCCTACTAGGTACATTTAAATTAGTAAGTCTTTTCAGAGGTGAGGTTGGTAGAGGAAGCTGTTTTGAGCCCTAAAATATAATTATCTCAAGAAGAGATGCATTTGAAGACTTATATGTAATTTTGAAAGTTTTGAAGGTAGTATGTTAAAGTGATTCTGTAAATTTCTTCAGTTCTTTCTGAAATATGAGGATTTTTCCCACCTAAAAAACCTACAGAGGCTATCTCCACACCCACTTGGCTCTTGACTGAGAACTGAGGACCTTTTTTTATGCATTCTAACAAAGAGGTAATGTTTCCATCAAATGTGTGTACGTATACATTTCTTCCCTCTAAAATAATTCTGGTTCATTTAGAGTTGTAACAGGACAGTAACTTGATGTGAGAAATGCTGTACATGACAAAAATTTAGCAGAAAGGGCAAAATTGTTTTTGAGTTACTGTACTTATATTTTAAGTGCTGTGCTGCCAGTATTTTATACTGGTATTTCCAAAATGTTATTTTTGAAGTTTTCCCTTTTCACTCTGTATGACTTAGACCCATCTCCCAGTCTGTTAGTCAGAAAGAGGCTCCAAACATCAGCAGTGGTTTCCTGTGAATTCGCTGTCTGTCTCTCCAGAGGGTCCTACCTGATGTGAGTGCAGTGTGGGCTTAGTTTTGCTGGACTTGCTACAAACACTTGTGCAGATCACTGCAGGCAGCTTTAATCACAGTTGGTTCCCTGGGAGAACATAGGCAGAACATCCTTGTTTGGGTGGATGGGTGTGTAGAAATCTTTACTGAAGGTCTGATTCAAAACACTAACATTTTGATTCCTCAAGTAGTTGCATAGCAGCTCATTTTCAGTAATTTGTATGGAGCTGAACTTTGAACAGTGTCAGTAAAGCTGTGTTTAGGCATTTGTATTGTATGACGCATTAGTATTTCAGAGATCTCGTCATTGCTGCTCTACCCTTCAGATCCAGTCGGAAACTTCAGGGGTCTTATATTAATGCCCATTAAATAATTTGTTTAAACAGATTTGGCACATTTAACAGATACTTTAGACAATTTGTTCATAGACCATATCTATTTCAGGCATGGAGCAATGTTTTACTTTTGCTCTTTTCTTACATACTAAACAAAAATGAGGAATGAGTCAAGTGCACTCCAGCAGCAGTGCACCTGAACCTCCCCACAAGAGGCTTCACACAAGCCCGACCTCTCCACACCCCTGCCCATGTGTAAAAGCTAAAAGGCAGGACGGCTGGCGTTTGAATCAGCCTTGTTCTGTGTGGTGTCTAGTTCAGAGCATTTATCCCCCTTATTTTTCCACTGACATCAGTCTTTATCCTTACGGGTTAGTCAGCCATGGAAAACTTGTTGTTTACAACAGGAAAAATTGTTTTCCAGAACTCAAATCATCACTTGTACCAAAGTGAAAGTCTGCATGAATATGCTCAGCATCTAATAGTCAATATAGTCAGTAAAGTCAGTCTACAGAATATATTTAATATATTGAATTAATTTGTACATTGCAGAGTATGGTATTTGTGTATGCAATCTGTGCTTTATTCTTATTTTTTTCTAGCTCTTTGATGAGTAGAATATTAAATGTATTGTTATAGAAATGCAGATTATTGCTTCTATAGGAAGATAATTATGAAAATAAAATCCAAAATATAAGTATGATTATTTTTATTATTAGTTGTTTTGCTTGTTTCTTTACTTTTTTCCAAGGATATCCTCTCAGTTACCTATGGGATTCTAGGTATATACAAGAACAGTATTTGGTCTGTTCCCTTAAGTTATATGTCATGCCCTTTGGAATCAGTTAAGTACCTTTGAGAGTTGCTTTAAACTGAGCTTTTTTAAAATACTTACAAGTCATCCAGTTAGCATAATACTGTATCATCTGCTACTTGGTGGAATAAAAGCTTTAATACATCTTTCAACAGAATAATTGCATTCATTCAGTTAAATGAGGTAAAAATATGTGATTAGGAAGCTACAGAAACTAATGTGAAATGGCAATGTTTTACAAAAAATCTGCACAGCACCTTAATTACCAGCAGATTTTACTTGGACTTAATCAGACATTTATCGACCTTGTACTATATGGTGTTGTCTGTGTCTTTCATGGAAGGGGAATCAATTATATGATTTGATATCTGGACTTAGTAGAAGTTGGAATAAGAGAAACAAGTAATGCAGTAGAAGGAGTGGCTCTTGGACATAATGCAGTTTTGCATTTCTTGCAGGAGCTTTGGAGTGTTCTGAGTGTGTTGTGTTGTCACCCTGGCACTCATAGTATTAAGATGAGACAGCTAGGAAGGAAAAACGAAATCCATCCCCTCTTCTCCCCCAGTTGTTTTCATAGGCTAGTACCAATAAACGGCTCAGTACTGACTTTAATTTGATGTTAAATTTAAGGACATTGAAAATGTCGTGAAAGAAAAAAGAACGTCAATATTGTAAAAGGAGAGAGCAAACGTCTTTCATTTGAATCTCTTTTTTTAATGGCCAAGAGACCTTTGTGCATAGAAGGGTCTGACATGGCTTTTAGTTAACATTCAAGGACATTGAATAAAATTCCCCTAATCATTAGCCCCACTGATCACCTTAGAATTTAAGGCTGAAACATTTTAAATTACATCTACTAAATTTTCCTACTTGTTTTTCCCAATGCTCTCAAGAGGCCTAACAACTTTAAAAATCTTTGTAAGCACGTAACTTGTAAAGCATATAAATCCAACTATTATACACATAGTAAATGTTATACATTATAAAAAATACACATAAAAGAAATTGAATTTCCAAATGTCCCAATACTGTTGGTGAACTTCAATTCTCAAATTAACCACAATTAAACATTTAAGATCAAACTCAAAAGGTTAATATGTCAGATTCATTTAAATGTTTCAAGAACCTTAAGTATAAACACAGATTACCACAATGATTATAAAACTCAGTCCTAACCTAACAGGAAGAACTAGCATCATGGGGTTGACGTTTATCAATGTGAAATGGACTTCTACACCTACCCTGGGTAAGTTATTTAATTTACCCAATTATGGGGAACAGGTTTGCCGCCTTGGTGGGCCAGAATGCTGTTGGGCCATAACAGAGAGTTCAGAGGCTGGAAGTGGGCCTTGGGTGCTAAGTTGTGCGGGAGAAGAGTGGCCTTTGTTCTTGTGCTGCCAGTGGAGGGTGCTGTGCCTGCACCTTCCAGCTCAGGGGTTAGGCTCAGCACAGTGGATCCTGGACTAGGGCATTTTTAAAACTTCATCCTACGCATTTTTTTAAAATAACCTCTTTCAATGTTTTATAGTCTGATTTGGATAGATAGAATTCTGTAACCCTAGCTAGGTTGAAGATTTTTTTTTAAATTGGTTTGGATTCAAGGATTACCTTTATTGCCCAGTTGGTTTTTGTGTCTTTTCATAGTTCGTGGATTTTAGGCCATGATTCAGTAGTCTGTACATTGATAAAACTCATAGTTCAGTAGGCACTATTTTATGCTTAATGAAATGACTACCACTACAGATAGTATAGTCTGGATTATGAGAAAGGCTGACTTCCTATAAAGTAGATCAGTCATGTAGGGCCAGGTTATGCTGTAGTGACAAGCAATCCCAGAATCTCACTGGTTTAAAACAAAGGTTCATGTGCAGTCACGTTCCATGTGTGTCACAGGTCAGCTGAGGGCTCCATCCCTGCTTTCCACTGTGAGGGCAGGGCAAGGGAGCGTCGTGAATCACAGTGGTGGGGGAAGGACCTGCCAGCAATCAGCAGTCCACCCCAGAAGTGATCCACTTCACTCGCCCTCACCCATTCACACAGGGGCCAGAACCTTAAGTCTCCCATAGGCCTAGAAGGAGAAGAGAGAACACCCCTTTGGGACAACCAAACTTACTTAGGCCTTAAAGCATCTGTAGTCAATTATGTTACTTTTTGTCAATGCTCATTTAGGATTTTAATGGAAGATGGTAAGTTAAATCCTAAAGCAGTCACTGTTACCTTGTCTCACACACACACTGATGTCACATATGCTGCCAGGTTCAACCCTAATGGTCTGTTATCCCCGGTGTCAGAGGAATCACTGTACTTTGAATAGTTTCACTGTTAAGATAATCTAATGGGAAATGCTGCTTGAAGTCGTTTCTTGGTTTTCTCTCCTGTATTTGAAAAAGGAAAAATAACTTCAGCAGGCCAACTTGAAGTTTGAGCTTTTCATTTAATTTTTAAATAAGAATGTGAACAATCAGCTGTTAGAAGTATTAGAGGCCTAGCTCAGGCTGGTGTCTAGGTTAGATGCCTGTGGCTTCCCCTGAGGTGATCTCCAGGCTCTGAGAGGCACTGGCTAGGCCTGGCCTTCAGGGGACGTGGAGAGCAGGGTCTCTGTCATCTTGAGGACTTCTTTCTCACTTTGCCTTTTTTATGTCTCATGTTCCAAATTTTCTGTAAAATATCAACATTTCTTTTAATCCTGACCCAAGTAATAACAAACCATGTCATCTGAAACATCAGGATGTGCTGCTTGGCCGGGTGGGGAGTAGCTTTGCAGACGGTTTCTAGTGCGTCTTGGTGTGCAAAGAATATCCCAGGACTTGGAATAAGTTGACTAATTCGGAAGTTTATCACAGTGTGTCCCCACCCTCCTGGCACATTTTGTTGTAAACTATTTTAATTGGTCTTTAAAAAGTGTATGACTTTTCTGTTAGAATTCACTGAAGCCAACTGAAGCAGTATTGCATAATGCCGGGGCGCCAGCTTTCAGACAAGACTGTGATCCCAGCTGGCTTGCTGTGGATCTCCGACAAGCCAGTTTCCTCACTGAACAGCATGAGCATAATAACATCTACTCCAGTGGTGGTTTTGAGGATTGAATGAATTCGTAGGTGCAAAGCACTTAAAAGAGTAACTGACAAATGATAAGTACTCAGTAAATACTAGGATAATGAATGAGAAAGGAAAGGTCAGTTTAATAGTTCCAGTTTTGACAGCCAAAGTTCCTCGGCAGCTTAGGTATTTCAGACTACAACGAAAGTCATTTTGTCTTGAGACCTCATTTTATTTTCATCATGGTCTGATTACAGCTGAGAACATGTCTTTGTTAGAAACTTCCTGTCTTTGTGCCTGTGGCACCTCCCAGTTAGGCATCTGTGCCTCTGGTGAGCAACAGCGCTCAGGATTTGCTGATCTAGGCCACTGCCTATCCTCCCTTACCAGATTTGTCTGGAGCTTCTCTCCAACATGATCCATTGGAGGCTAACATCTGCCTGCCTTTAAAGCAGGACCAGTGGCTCTGAACCTGTGGGGTGTAGCAGATTGACAGCCCGACTTCTCCCTCCTTCTGGAAGCTGCACTGCCTCCTAACCCTGTGGTGGGCCGCCAGTAGTCATGTTTAAACAGTGTGTCCCACCCTTCCAGCCACCATTGTTTGGTCCCCAGATGGCTTCTTACTCAAGCTGAGCAAATCAGGGTTCCTTTCCAAACTGTGCATTTGCTCTCACTATCCAGATTGTGCTCTCTCTCTCTCTTTCCTATTTTACTTTACTTTCTAGCACTTTCCAGTACTTGAAATTATGTTATATATTTATGTGTTTATTGTCTGCAAATGTGAGTAAAATGTGAGTAAAACTCCATTAAATTAAATGTGAGTAAAACTCCAATAAATTAAAATGTGATCTCCATGAGAGGGCCTTCTCTTCCTTCCCAATGTATCTTCCAGAAAGTGCTTGGCACATAGCAGACATTGAATAAATATTAATAAATACAAGAAAAGAAGCCCTCAACCAATGTTATCCTGTTTGTTTTTATTGGAATTGGCTCATCTCTGGTCATGCTTTTCATCACTCTTGATTTCTATTAATATTTATCCAATACTTTTGAAACCAAATAAATGTAACATTGCTAGTTAATGAAAAATGTTCTTTAACTTAAGGGATTCCCAGCTTCCCTCTGCCCTCCATGCCCAATTTAGAGGGACTGAATACACTTTATGAGATAATTAGGCAATGCACATTTAGGATTTAAAGATGTGTTCTGAGAAATATGCAAGCACATGGAAATGCATTCAGCTCCCTGCCTCTCTGGGCCCAGCAAGGGTGCCTCGGGTGGTTCTTGTGTTTCACATTCTCCAAATACAAGATGCAGTTTGGCTGTGATTTCACAGGGGTGATACATCGGGGAGGATGATTAAGAGAGAAAAAGAATTTGAGACAAAATTGGTTTGAACTACCCTGTGGAAAACTGAACTTATATGCAGACACCTTGCCTGTTCTCTTCACTTAAAGCCCTTTGGAAGCCTTTGGAGAGTCTGGGCTTCCCGGTTCAGTAAGTGGAACAATCTATAGCTTACGTTCTTCGCACTGAAGACCGTGACAGTGAGAATAGTCAATACTGCAATAGCTTATTGCACAGACAGACAGCTTGTGGAATTTCCCTTTCAAGAGATTTCTGTTCAGAAGTAAACTAGTGTTTCCCCTTGTCAGTGTGGTTAGGCTTGCTCCTGCTGCCAAGAACTCCTTTCAGTGGCAGTTGTAGCAAATGCCAGTTGGGATTTGGTGGAATATGACTTTAATTAAGGATGCTTTACAAATGTCACTGGGCAGAGTGACACCCTCACAAAACTGTGAGGATGAGTATTTTTAACCTCAGTGCTAATATCAAGCATAACAGGTGAACTCACAATTGAA